AAAAAGAAAACTGATTGAGGATTTCCTCTTACGTTTTAGTCTTCCTCAAATTGAATCCTCGCGAAATCAAGTTCAGAATGAAATACGCTGCATTGTGTATCATCTGACTCATTTTTTTATGGTATCATATTATAGCTACCCAAAATCTACATAAGCTATTAAATTATTTATTTCCTTATCAATTTCAAATAACTCTGATGAAACATAGTTTATTAGAGATTATATTTGATTTTTAGGAGGGGAAAATTAGGTGATGCCATCAGTAATACAAATCCAGGGATTAGCCACGATTTCGCGTTGCAGGCAAACAGTTAAGATTACGTCAAGTGATTTAATAACTGAAAATAACAGAGGGTAAATAATAGACCAACATATCCATCGCTTAGTTTAGAAATGGATCAAGTGGAATAGTTTTGAGTCCTCAAGAACACTCGAACACAATCTTATCTCAAGAGCCAAGAGATGAGTTCAGTGTTCTAAATATTGTAAACGTTTGTGTGCGCCTGATTGTTTTGATCAATTTGGGCAAAATGTAAACTAATTTTGGTATACTCCCATGAAATTGAAATTGAAATAAATAAGATTTCATCAATCATCGAACGATCGGAAATTTTAAGACGAATAAAGCGAATAAATGAAACACGTTATGTTTAACTTATTGAGTTTTCGAGGAAACCACTTTTATGTACTTGAGTAGTATGCGTATTTGAAAACTGGCGAAACTTGTTGTGTAAGTGGTAATAATTAATTAGGTATATTCTTCTCTTTACCACACAATTTTGTGAGGTCTTAAATTAAGGGGGATTCGGTGTACATTAAGTCGATGTCAACGAGCTAGGATTGAAAAGACACTTTTCGCCTGGTGGTGAACTGCAATTCACGTTATATTGTATTCTTCTGTTTTGTGGTGCAGTTGTTTGAAAAAAGTTAGTTGCAACAGGTTTAATGGTATGAAGAATTAAAATATATGAAATATTTTTATTTAAAATAATTAACACGTTGATAAAATGATATTTATCACGATGAAACATTCAATGTAACACGAGAACGAAAACAAATAGTTCGTAATAATGCGAGTGTAAAAGAGTATAATTATTGATCAATATGAACTCTTCAATTATTCGTGTTTTAAGCTGACCCTATAAAAAGCTGTTTCAGCCTTGTGACGTATATTTTGCAAATAGCTGTTCCTCTGAAGTGGACAAAGAAAATATGACAATTTGCAAGTACGACCAGATTCAGCAAAACACAATACAAAACCTAGCTCCATTCAACAACTCCCCACGGTACTTCTGACCCACTGTCCATCTTTTTCTACCGCGAAAGAAAAGACAATGTAAAAACCGTTTGCGGCGCGCGGTAACTCCGCGCCGTACGGACTGCGGACAATGTGAAAATAAAAATCTAGGTTGAACGACAGATGTTCGCGGATCGTCCACTGGAGCGGTGCTGTGGCGGGTGAGGGACTTCAGGACATCCCGTGGGGTGGAGGGAGGTGTGACACGGGGTCCTTGGGAGTCTGAAGGTCCTGGGACCTCTGGAAGTCCTGCGGGAGGACGAGGAAGTGCCAGGTGGCAGGCAAGGTCGTACAACGTCCCTGTAGCTGATAACGTTGCTATCAATCTGCTGGGAATCTGCTCTCTCCGTTCCCGCGGTTCTGTTTATACTGGAATTATGCTTTCTTTGAGCCTGATAACGCCAGCTCTCACAATTCCTTCAAGACCGTTCTGTCTAACCAATAAAACCTAGTCATTTTTTGTCTGATTAAATTGCTGTCAGTGGGCTGGAAATTCGCTATAATCGTTTTCTTGCACCGTTGTGGTTGTTTTTAATGTAATTATTCTTACTTTGTTACTGATAATGTCGCTTTCAGCTGAGAATGATCGATGTATATACTCATCAGGAGTATTATACATCGATGCTGAGAATATAATCCCACCGTTCCCTCGGTTCTTACTGTTTATACTGGAATTATTCTTTCCTTGAGTCTGATGACGTTCAAATCGAGCTAACTAGGATTTTGGAACCATCACCCATTACCAACCATATGAAAATTGTTATTTTTCCGTGTGAATCTGTCTGTTTTTAATGAGAATTTTGATTTTTTGCGGAATCTTAAATAAAATAATACATATCGTTTGTATATTTAACATCCATTAAAGTATACAATAAACACATATCTCTTAACTTTTCTTTAACTGCTGTTTACGTATTTTCCAAAGTAATGAAATAATGCGTAAAGTATCTTTATATATACTTGTAAAGAAGTAGAATATACTACTTTAGTAGAATACATCTTTAGAATACAAAACATTGTTGTTATAAACTATTATAGTTGAAATCAAAACCAATCCTCGAACAGCTATATTATGAATTACACTACTACTCCTTAAGCAATGACCAAATGACGGTATAGTAGGCAATGCAATGCAGTTGTGTCGTTGTATTAAAAAATAACAATGTAGCCTTTTGCAACATGAACAGAATTGCAACAACCTTACTGAGCTCATTTAGTGTTTGTATAACAACGTCCTCACTCAGTAAATATAACAACTGTCGCGTAACATGAAAATAGACTCCTGCTGCACTTACATAAATCGCCTAGAAAGTCTAAGAGGGTTATTATGAAGACGTTTAGCACAATAAATACAGTGGATCATGTCGCTGAACACATTATAGGCTTAATTATTAGTGACCTGTCCCATAACCCCGATGTATATTGTGTAAACAAACTTGGGCTAGAAATACTCTGAAATGCACTTCGTACGCCAAATGTGAGGTGAGACTATTCGACTGCGTTGAATCCAGTGGTCACCTCGAGGGTGGTGGGTTGATTGCTCTAGATCAACAAAAACGAGGATTTGGACCGCTTTAAATTGATAACGTTTGTTATTCTTTCATACAAATGGCACCAACTTGTCATTGACTAAAAAACTCGAGGAATTGCAAATTACACTTACAACTATGTTTGTGTTCATTTTCAATTGGGTTACGATTGTTTAACGTTTTGTTTACTCTGTGTACGAGATAAGAGGCGTTTACGGCGCAGAAACTGGTTGTAAATAATTGAGTGATAGCGGCGATGGTGTGTGGAATGTGTGGTGTATATATACAAATTAAATTAATGATTGTATGCTTAAAATATAAATTTTCGATTTCTCTATATTTAATAGTTTTTTTTGTTTACTACTCTATGCATATACATTATAATAAATAATGAAGCTGATTTTTTTGTTTCGATTTTGATAATGTCAAGGTAACATAGCACTTTTTTCGAAGAAAATTTTAATAGTTATCAACTTATTTCTGCACAACTGGGAGCTCCAGTTTTCATTACAGTATATTGAGTTGACATATTTTTCGAAACAGGGTTTTGAGTACTCTTTATTCTCTGCTACTACAAACAACACTAATGTGATTGAATCAATGCGAGATGAGGGTATGCTACATCATAGTAGCTAGTTTTGTAAAATAATTGATGGATAAGAATAAAGAGAGGCCACAAGTTATCCATATAGTCTGTATACCTATAGAATATTTTGTTGTTCACTTACTATTATTATATTTTTTTATTATTTATTTAGCTTACTAACACATTTTTGATCATGAAACTGCGTGTTAATTTAGAAGCAATTAATACCACGTACTCTGTGGTGTATAACCAACCAGCATATACCGTAAACCCTCCGAAAAATAAAACAGAAACGTTAAATTTGAATCATCACACTCTGAAGGTCACCAACATGAACTATACATAAATACCCCCGCCGCAGCAAACCTGCCGTCTAAGCGAATTTCCATTTGGCTGAATTGATTTTCAATTGATCTATTTAAATAACATTTAGGTTTAACGAGTACCTAGGTTTGCTGCTACAAGGAAACTAATAAAGTGTGTGTTTTAAGTCAAATAATTATTGCTTAGTATAAAATGAATATATTTGCCAAGTTTGATCAAAAGATGATATCCATAAACAAGCAAACTACAACATTTTACAATATTCTCCATAAGAATAACATGGGAATTTTAAATTTACCATTTTTTAGTTTTCTCCGTAACCAATAACCGTACAAAAACACTTTGATATACTGAATTGTTTGTTTTTTAAAGCTCTTTAAGAAGGTTTAGAGAAAAATTGGGAAATTTTGTGTTTTGAGGGTCAAAAGTGAGAAAAACCTATTTTTACTCCATAAAAACCCCCATAAAACCCTGTTCGCATGGTCCGATCATGCTGGATCGCGAACTCATTCAAGTTTATCCCGCCTTACACCTTCAAACCAAATTTCATCAAAATCAGATCAAAATTACTCAAGTTATCGTGTTCACGGACACATATATATATATATATATATATATATATATATATATATATACATATATAAAAATTTGAACGAATGGTGTTTTTGGCCTCTGGGGACACCAAAATGAAAAAGTAAATCGGTCCCGGGCCTAAGTCTTACCATGAGACCTACGGTAATAGCTACTTCCCTATAGGGAAATTCGCTAAAAAGGTTTTATTTGTTACAATGGATTGTGTTGTCAAATGGGATGATAAGTCCACTTGCTCTAATCGAAGTCAATGGTTCTAATTTTCTTATGTTAAAGATTTCTTCCCAACTGAAATGGGGTCATATTTCAGGTACCGAAATCTCGTGAAATCCCTGTTTTACTAATCAATAATAGAATATTCCGCAATTATCTTTGAATAGCTTTAGAGACCATTATAAGCTATAATAGTTTTAACAAATCTTAAACTTGTACCCCTAGTAATGCACGCTGCAATTCTTTGGCAATTGAAACAAATAACAAACTTTTTTTGCGATAAAAAATAGATTTTACAATAAACCAAGTTAAAAAAAAAAAAAAAAAAAAATAGTAACACTAAGTTATGAATATAAAACTAGCAGTATAAATCGATAAGTGTATAATTTCATATCAGATGTGGGAATTTAGATGATGTTGTGAATTGGAATAAAATTAGGGAAAAGACAATTGAACTCACCCCTCGTGAAAGTCCGGGCTCCTAGCGGTCGGTACACTATGGCTACTGTTGGACCTCCTCACATCCCGGTGGACAGGGATGGGAACGCTTCCGTTGTGGTCACTCGCGACACCCTTGAAACTCGCCTTTCGCACCAGCGAGGGACTGGAGAGTCCGGACTGCGCCCTCAACATCTCGTCCGACGGAACCGTCCCGTACGTGAAGGGACGACTGTCCTGTCTGGCGTGGTACGGTATGTCGGTCTCGCGGTTGTCGCGGTGCTCGCTGCGCGGCGCTGCGCAATCTACTGAGTCCACACCACTCCCACCACTCAACGTCTTCAGGTCTGGGATGTTCTCTACTGTGAGCAGCATGTCGCTCAGGAGCTCGTCCAGCTGGCGGTGATGGTCCGGGTAGGAGGCGGAGGGCTGGAGTAGACCGTTCCCTGCGGAGGAGATGCCGGAGTCCATGGACACTGTGTGGACGCTGGAGATGACGGGTCCCGGGGCCTCGGGCTTCTTGGTCCTCACGGTGGCGTAGAGCGAGCCGTCCAGAGGTCCGTACGTGTGAGCGACTTCGCCGTCTGTCAACAAGATAGGAAATGTAGAATAAATAAAAATTTGACTAACAATTCTTTTGAGGAAAACATGTTTAGTGAGCGTTTGCTTACTCTGGACCTAGAAATGATTAAATATGTCTCCTCTCCTTGTAGCCCAATCCATACATAAAATTATGGGTGGGACGGTTTAGTAAGATCGTTGACTAAATTATATTACCGCACATTAAAAAAGGGTGAACCAAAGTATAGAAATGCTCGTATTTGCAACTTTTATTGACACCAGCTTGGGGATGAGATTTGGGATTCATCGATACGATTCGTTTACCGTTGATAGTTAGATTGGCTCATGGAAAAGGGTACACAATGCAGTTAAATAATCTAAGACAAATGCTATACCAATACATTTTGTCGAAAATATCATGCGTGAAATCGTTATATTATGTGTATTCATACCAAGGGGAGCGCTAGTAAAGTAGTTGGGTTCATAGCAGGTTTCATCTAGCAACGAAACAAGTTTTAAAATCCTTTAGTAATCAGCAAATGTGTTAGTTCATGCCAAAATAAAATTTAACATGAAAAAACAGATTTTCTTTTAAATTGCGAAATCCAAGTCAATAAGCCATCGAAGGCCGTTAAACGCGTTAGTTAATATAATTGGTCGATAATCGATTATCATAGTTAAGGCCTCGCAATTGGAAGAATACAATTAATTATTAAGTAAAATGTTTGTACGCGCAACACAAAAATATTTTCAACCTTAGGTAAGAAACGTGCTTACTGTTTTGTTTTATTTTATTAAAATTTAAAGCAGAGTTTGTGAGTAATTTTGTTATTAGATATACAATCGATTAATTTACTATGGTTACATCTATGGAAATATAACACAGCCCAACACCTTAATTACCCTTCACTGAATTATTATTCCCGTAAAACACGTTAAACGTAATGAGAAACGCGTCAAAACGCTCTCATCCATGAAACGGTAACTAAAGGCGGGTTCTTTGAAACATTGATCCATCTTCTCCTTCGGTCTAATTGATTCTGTACCAAAAATAAATAGGATTGGGTAGTTAAGCTTCAAGGGCAGTTGGTTTTCTGAGTTACTCGGCAATTACTTTAGATATTTTAGCTCGAAAGAGATTCAGGAATCCCCTAGCTAATAGTGTTTAAATTTACTGATTAGCTGTTAGTTGGGTGTTTTATTGAGAGGTTCTTTAGATATTCTTGATCTTTAATATATTAAAATCACCTTGTAACTTGTAAACTTTACCACCTTAAATAAGCTAGAATAATTATAGCTAGAAGATGGCGATGTAAATTTTGATTTTAAAATGTTCGTTACAGAAAATTATAAGAAGGTGTTCTATTTATGATGTGGATGTGGCCAGTATTAAAACATGTTTATCAAGACTACCATAATCTTAAAATGATAGATTAGGAATCATGTAGCAACGTTTGATAATACTTTTATAAGGAATTATGTTCCGAAAAAAACCTGCATTCAAACATATTTTTGTTTATTTAATTCCAATTTTGCACGGAGAGAAATTTTAATTTTTAACGATTAAATGAGTAGTTTTGTATTTAGATGTTTTTTCAAACGGGGTTTCCCCTCCGTGTTATATTATTTCTTGTAAACACAACAATTAGGTAACTGGTATAATTTGTATATTGTTAATAAGGCAACATCAGTGAACTTAATTGTAACCGACATGATCAAAGTCAAAATAAACTCCATCTGTTCGGAAGTCAAAAATCGAAGTTCACTGCTTCTGAGGGACCTGAGTTCCACTTCCGCGTCCTTTCACAGTTAGGTCGGATATCAAAAAGCTATTCCGCCCTTGAAAGAGATCCGAGGGGATGACAATGAGAACTCTGGGTGCCAACTGAACGATCCGTCGCAAATCACAAATGCAACACAGATATTTGATTCTGTTATCAGAGTGTTTTTAGTTTCTCCGTCTAAAACTCAGATGGTCGTCGTTCCAATCCTGGGAAAAGTCAGTAGTTGTTTATGGTCCGAAACCCAGCTTTTCTTGATCACGACTTCCTGGCTGAAGATGAAGCTGATCTTAGTCTCAACAACAAATCTACACAGATCAAACACTCCATTGTACGTTCATGGATTAATTTCCAAACCCATAGCACGTAGCGGTCTAGTGAAGTGATTAAGTGATCGGAAGTATTACTACATGCCGTACATTTTCTTCCTCTGTACACCGGATCAGCTGTGCTGTGGACCAGTGACCTGGCCACAGATGACGTCACATGCCGTATAAGGCGACACTCTCGGCTCCCAAGGCTGCATTCAATCACTTTACCTACTTGTGCATACACTGGCCACCTCCCCGCCTCGGTACTGTAAGGCTTCGTGCTACTAGGAGTGTGCCCGTCTTTACGTTGATTTCTGTCTAGTTTTGGATACAAGACTATAGACTAACTGCCACAGAACATTATCGTCAGGAACATAATGTTGCGTATCCTAACTGAATACGAGGATGAGTGTAGAATGGAGTGATAAGTCATCTGCTTTTTCTTTAGCCAGGACCAATTATTAAAAGGATAATAATCAAGGACAGCTGGGACCAGTTTCGTACCTTTAAAAAGCTACTGCATCTCTTCAGGAGCGAACCGGTGGCGACCTTATGATTAGTAGACGACCTCTACACATTCAGTAACTGATGTAATGGTTGATTCATCTAACGAAACAAACCATTTGATAGTGTAGACAAGTGAAAACAACCTCCAACCTCCTCCTAAAAACCTAGAACGACATATCAGTTCAATCATATGTTTGTTTCCCGTTGACCACACGATGTTTCGTAACAGCTGTAACCTAATCTGCCACATTTATCGTTGTAACTTAAGAAGAGCCTTTAAACGAATGTCACGACTCCTAGAAGGCAGGCGGAGGCTGTTGCATGTAGCCATGAAGCCTTGCAACAGCGACATGCAAGCTTGAGCATGACACTGTGACAAGTCCTGCACGCTTCACAGGAAACGCACCGAGTACGGAGATGTACAAGTTATAAGCATAGATCATAGAGGAGAAATATGGTTCGATAATTAATGTTGTAAAAAAAAACAGCCAAAGTTTGAATGTGAACACCTAAACTCTATTAGGAAGTTTCAAATGCTTGGTTTCTTATTTCCTTAAAAGATATTTGTAGCTGTGAGAATATATTTATTGATTGAATACGTTCTCAGTTGATTTTGACCATAGGGACTAGGCTAGAGAAAGCGCTGATGTTAATCAAAAATATTAAGCTACAAAACAGATCTCATTCTCTTCTACACTCCTCCCTCAGTTCGGTAAATATGCAGAGTAGTGTTCCTGTCTTCGTGTTATCATTCCCTTATAAGCTTTGCATCAAATAAGTTCGTGGACTAGGACTAGTTTGATTGCAAAGAACAGAGGCCGTTTTTGCGACGAGTCTTTAAAAGTGAAACAATTTAATAACTGTAGAACACTGTTAAAATTTGTATGCAAAATAACCTTGGCTGAAATCGAATGTTGTTTAATGTATTTTTGAGAACACACTTACATACATGGCAATTTTAACAGATCGTAAAGTAAAAATCGGGTGATTACGATGCTTGATGAATGTCGTTAGTAAACCCGTTTTAACAAAGGTATAGCATAAATATATCCCACATATAAATTATGAGTGATCCCAATGACCCGTGCGTTTATCACGCAGTATATTACTAACTTAACCCAAAATTAAAGTCACAAAGCAATGGGTTTTAGCCATAAACTTTAAGTTTGAAATCATAACGAAACCGCAAAGCTGTTAACTTTATTTCAGACCGCGTTTGACGGCATTCAAAAGCGGTCTCCACCAAACACTGGGACGTGGTTATTAAAAGATGGAACAATAAAGTTAGTTTGGCCAGAGTTGCCCAACTGGCCTCTGTGCATTGGCCACGGACACAATTGGCCACGCTCTCGTAGGAATTGGACTGACGATAATACACAATTGAGCCAATGAGAGAAATCTGTTGGTCCAGCGGATTGATTACACGGTCATGAATTACAATTACTGTGACATCCGCAACTGCGTACTGCCAGTGTAGTAAAAACTAGTTTGATTGAACGTCTTATTAATGTAGGTTATATTTTCTGTTGTTTCTTGCTACCGCATGGTTTAGGCAATGATTCCACTGAAGAAGGAAGTTGATTCCGTCCTTCGAAACAATGTAACAATTTATTGTCTCCTACACATTATTGGATTTCAAAAACCCTTCATGAACAGTTTGGTCGAAAGTACAACAACCGTATAAGAATTATATTGGATTATCAAACGCATTAAAAATTGCATTACTGTTTACATTTCTTACATACCAAATAATTTAAAAAATTCAATTACATTCAAATGTTTGAGTTTATAATGACGATTTTCAAAATATCAATTCACACCACATAAAAAAATAGACGAATTAGGAATATGAAGAAAATACTTAATGCAAAAAGTATGAAAAGAAAGCAAGATAGAAACAAGCTTGAAAGGAGGGAGGGGGGGGGGGGTTGGTGGAGAAAAAGAGGACTTACAGTTTTTTACGGTTCAAATAATCGGGTTGAATTGGTTTCAATCAATTTTGTAATTTAATCTGGAATGAACATAACTTCCAACTAGTCCGCAGTGTTTTATTGGCCATTATTTAGCACAGGCGCCTCTCGATGGGGACGGATGGTGCTTATTATTGGAATTCGACCATAACAACTGGCAGAAACACTAAACAGAGGCGAAATAACCCGGGAATAAACAAGCAAATGAACCAGCTGTTGTGGCGATCTTGGCACGCCAATTGGCAATAAAAAAGAAACCTAGAAAGAAAAAAAAGAAAACTAAAACAATCAACTCGAGGTTGTTATTAGTCCGAATTTGATATAATATTTGTAACAAGTCGTATGATTATTTCTAGTATATTCTTTAATCAAACGTAAAATCTAAAAAAAAATTAAATAATAAAAGCCACATTTGAACTACTACGGGAGATGAGATAGGCCTACGGCTAAAATG